ACCCGGCACCCAATGCAAACCCGCTCCAAATCCGGTGTCTTCTGTCCTAAACAAATCCTTAATCTTAACACTTCCGTTCCCATTTCCCCATTACCTCCAACCTACCGTAGTGCACTAAAAGATCCTAACTGGCATGCTGCTATGTGTGATGAATATAATGCCTTGATAAAGAACGACACATGGGAATTAGTACCCCCCCCCCTCACAAAACCTTATCACCGGTAAATGACTTTTTCGACATAAATTTGGCCCAACCGGTGAGTTATCCAGGTATAAGGCCCGCTGGGTGGTTCGCGGTTTCAACCAACGTTTTGGTGTTGACTATGACGAGACTTTCAGCCCCGTTGTCAAGCCTGCCACTGTTCGTGTTGTCCTTAGTCTCGCTCTGTCCCGAGGATGGCCTATTCATCAGCTTGATGTCAAAAACGCGTTTCTTCATGGCCAGCTGCAGGAGACCGTCTATGCTAGTCAGCCTTCTGGGTTCCAGGATCCCACTCGCCCTCACTATGTTTGCAAACTCAAGAAGGCTTTATATGGTCGCAAGCAAGCACCACGCTCATGGTTTCACAGATTTGCAGGTTTCATACAGACCATTGGGTTTAGAGGATGCAAGGCCGACACATCCCTATTTGTCTTCTCTCAGCCCGTGGGCACGGCCTACTTATTGCTCTATGTCGATGACATCGTTCTCACAGCATCCTCCCTAGCAGTACTACAGAGTCTCATTCAGCAACTTAAGGCTGAATTCGCCATGACCGATATGGGTGATTTGCACTTCTTCCTTGGGATTAATGTTCATCGCACAGCTTCTGGCCTCTTCCTCCATCAGACTCAGTTTACTCACGACATCCTTGAGAGGGCAGGGATGGTTTCTTGTCGGCCAATCTCGACCCCGGTGGATACAAAGGCAAAGCTGTCTGCGTCCGCTGGCACAGCACTCTCCGACCCCTCTCTTTACCGGTCCATCGTTGGTGCCCTGCAGTATCTCACTTTCACTCGCCCTGACATCACATATGCAGTCCAGCAGCTCTGCCTACATCTCCATGCCCCACGTGACGCCCACCTTACAGCCATGAAGCGTGTTCTTCGTTATCTCAGTGACACTGCCACCCATGGCATTTACTTGACACGATCTGCCACCGACTATTTACAGGTTTATTCTGATGCTGATTGGGCAGGCTGTCCTGATACACGACGTTCCACATCGGGCTACTGTGTTTTCTTAGGCGACAATCTTGTTTCATGGTCGTCTAAACGCCAGGCCACCACTTCTCGCTCTAGTGTCGAGGCTGAATACCGAGCTGTAGCAAATGCTGTTGCAGAGACCAGCTGGATCCGAAATCTTCTCCTTGAGCTCCAGCAGCCACTCCGTTGCGCCACACTTGTATTTTGTGATAATGTCAGTGCAGTCTACCTTTCGTCAAACCCGGTGCAGCATCAGCGCACCAAGCACGTTGAAGTTGACATACACTTTGTGCGTGATAAGGTGGCGCTCGGTCAGATCAAAGTCCTGCATGTTCCGTCATCTTCCCAGTTTGCTGATATCTTCACAAAGGGACTGCCCTCACTCATATTTCTTGACTTCAGAGAAAGTCTGGGTATCCGACCCCAGCACTGCCGACGTAGCCGGGAGCATGTTAAATATATATAATATATTTAATATTATTATATTATTATTGTTACCATATTTGTATAGGTTTCCTAGATTGTCTCTCCTACCATATTTAGGATTGAGACTTTTTGTATATATACATGTACTCTCCTCACAATTTAATCAATGAAAATAATCTTTCTTCACGTCCCTTAAACTGTTTTTCCTTTCTTTTTTCTTGTCCCACAAACTTCTTCTGTTTTCTATTAAAAACTTACATTTACTTTTATTAAATTTTACTCTATCTATCACATCATACTTTTTTCTTATAATCTAGTTACCACATCCTACTTTTACTCATCACATTAAAGATATGGGGAAAGTCAATACAAAAATTTCTCTTTCTTAAATTCTCAAAAAAATCAATAAAGGAAGAACTTTAAGGGAAAAGAGGGAGAGAATATGTTTTAGTACGTATTAAGTATTGAGTATAAATTTCACAACACTACACTAGAATCTTATTCATGCATCTCAAAATTATCATCATATTTAGCTTCAATATAAATTTACTACAACAAGATTTATTTGGAATAGGAAATATATGGTAAATTCACATGGTTGCTTGAAGCAAGAAATTAAAATACTCAATAAATTCAACCATGTCTAGTACGTTGAACAATTCGTTTGTGGTTTGAATTGAAGCATTCCTAAGACTCCTCCATTTGAAAAGATTGAAAATGACTTGTGAAAAATAGTTTATTTAAATTGTTTACGTACATTCACGGTGAACATTATTAGGTATTATCCTTAAAAACAAAAAAATATTTATATAATGCAGTATATTCGTTTTAAATTTTTAAAACATGCATGAATTAACTAATTAAGAATGACGTTAACGACATTAGCCCTTTGCTTGGAAGGGATAAATAAGTGTGGGAAAAAAACTTGAATGAAAATAAAGAGGCATATTTATATGTATCTCTTTAATTTATTTTTCATCCAAACTTTGAACTTTAACATTTTTTTTAATGTTTTGTGGAGTTTTAATTTATTTTTCATCCAAATTTTATATTAATGATCAGAATTTATAAATTTTGAGTGTAAAAAAAGAAAAGAAGACAAATATTCTGGGCGAGATCGGACGTAGTAACTTAATTTTCTTCTTTCATGGTTTGACTTGACACGGAGATAATAAAAGTTAAAAAAATGTAAAAACTTTTCATATGTTATTCTTGATGTGATAGACTAAAGTGAATAGTGTTGATAAAATTTAAAACATACACTGACATATTCATTAAAAGTTTTTGAAAAAAATGAGAAAATTAAAAGAAAATTTTGGACTACTGCCCAAAAAAGGAATAAAAATTAATGGAATTTGCTAAAAACGTACTATCGATATAGAGGGTAAAGATGTAAATGTAGAGATGGGGTCTGGAGGAATAAAAACAGAAAAGGAATATTTTCACATTCGTATAAATTGGATTAATAAATAAGGAGACATATTAATTCAACATTAATATGACATAGTCCGTTGGTAAGCACAGTGATCGAAGGGGCAGTTGGAAAACAAAGAGAAATTTGTCAAAAATGAGACCGAAGAAGTACTGTGCGTTACACACATCTCCATCACATCTGATCAATTATACTTTGACCTTTTTTGTTCTTTTTTTATTTTTTGATTTGGTGAGAATTACTATTATTATTATGAGAATTATTGAATTGTTGTAGTAGTAGTACTAATTAATTAATTTAGTTGTGCATCCCTTTGAATATCATCCACCCCTCCCCTTTGGGCATCTTTGCAAATAGCGTTAGAGATTAACGTTAATATTTTGAATAAAATTATAACGCTGCATCTTATTTTGAAAACGCTAATGCTAAATACTGCTCATAGATAACTTTTTTTTCAAAATGCTAATACTAATCTCGAACGGTATTCCAGGCAGACCCTTTGCCTTTTTTACTTGGGAGATACTCCATCTTCGACTCTTGTAATAAAAAAGATGTCTCATCTTTAATTTGTAACAAAAAAGTACCATATATTTAGAAAATATAATTTTATTTTATAGTGTTTTTAGCTGTACATGGGGAACTAACGGG